TTCGTGTCCTATGCACACTAGCTTGCTTGATTTACGTTAGTAGGGCCCTGTGATTTCCGCGATCACAGAATCGCGGACGGAATTACGGAATGGGCAAATTAACGCGGAATCTAGTGTTAACGCGGAATCTAGTGTTAACGCGGAATCTAGTGTTAACGCGGAATCTAGTGTTAACGCGGAATCTAGTGTTAACGCGGAATTTCGTGGAATTTTACATATTTGGATTGAAATTCTGTTTTTGTGTGGGAGAAGAACGTATGTCTGGTGAAAATGCAGATCGGGGGAAGCAAATCTGGGCGACACAACCCCTCCCGTCATTTCAGCTCCAATGACGGCATCAAAACAATGAAAGCATGGCGAAGCGGCTCTCCGCGGCTCTGCTTTCCTCTGCGAAAAAGTTAAGAAACTCGACGCTATAAGCCCTCAGTACCGAGCCGAGCAGTTCACTCGTGACTTTTATGCAGTGTTTCCCACACATAGACTAATTCGCGGCCACAAAATCAACTCCGGCCGCCACATATTTCGTCTCTCTATCACTCACGCGTCTCTCTCACATACACGCACACACACACACACACACACACACACACACACACACACACACACACACACACACACACACACACACACACACACACACACACACCGCGTCTGTCTATGAGGCGCCGGACTGGACAAAAGCGAAGCGAACTCCGCGAGCGATACTGGGCGAGAGAGAGACGGAGTCTTAATTTAAACTCATATAATTTATTTTACTGGACAGTTTAAAGCTCATAACCATATTTTGTTACTTGAAGAGTGCAGTGTCATGTTGCATCATGCAGTATTTGTCCTGAAAATGCTACTGAGTAAATGTCTGTAATTTAAGGTCATTCCTATTTTATTTGTATACATTTTAATCATTAACTTTAAAAGCACACTCTTTTTATGACTAAAATAACAGTAAAGTGTAAAAAAAATAATGAATTCCCAAAAATTAAAACGGAAAAAACGGAATTTGGGAAAAAATAAAACGGATTTCATAGGGCCCTACGTTAGCTACGGGCATTTACGCGTTACGTTAAATAAGTAGTTCACTTTAAAATGAAAGTAAGCCCATAATTTACTCCCCTCAAGCCATCCTAGCCTTTATATAGGGAGCTATACAGTTGGTTACAGGACATTACACAAGTTTTTTTTTTTTTTTACGTCTCCAAATAGCACTTTTATCACTTCAAAAAATGGATTTTAAAGGCCTCCACTCTATTTTAATGTGAAATATTGCATTTATTGAAAAAAAATATTTTAAAAAATGTGTTCTAATGGAAAAAATAGCTAATAAAAAATGTATAAATATTGCATAGTATAATAAAATCCCTTCAAAATTCTGAATAATATAATCCAAAAAATATTTTTTAACAAAAATATAATACATTGGTTTTCCTGGGAAAAAAAAGAAGCCTATATTTCAAGGCTTCGGTCACTTTTGACTGCGACGGAGCCAAGTGTGACCCCTAAAAGAAGAGGTCCTTGAATTTGAGGGTATTTGACCAGGAAAGTCCTTGAAAGGTCCTTGAATTTCAGGTTAACCAAGGTGTGGGAACCCTGTAAATGCATTATGGCCTTATATCTCAAGAGACCCTGACTCTTTGGCTATGAAACAAATAAACAACATGAATGAAATGCTTCAATAAAAAGTTGTTTCTGGATTCAGTATGACTTTAAACCATGTCGTCTTCTCTTTTAGCCATGGCAGGAAACATCATTCCAGCAATAGCCACCACTAATGCCGTAATTGCCGGTCTCATTGTTCTGGAAGGACTCAAAATTCTCAACTCAGACTTCGAACAGTGTCGCACGGTAAGCTTATGGTGGTTCATTTCAAAGATTATGATCAGAAATTTGACAGCTGAATTGCATCATATCCTGTATTATCTAACACATCTTTATATTTCTTTTTCTCACTTGGTTTAAGTTGATTACATCTCTGCAGTTGTGAAGAACATTTTGACCTTTTCCTGTTTTGAAAGTTTTGTCAGGCGGTATAGTTGGGAGTTATGGTTTTAATTACTGTTAATTAATGTTTCTCTTTAGATCTTTCTGAACAAGCAGCCGAACCCCAGGAAAAAGCTTCTCGTACCGTGTGCGCTGGATCCTCCCAATCCCAACTGTTACGTGTGTACTAGCAAACCTGAGGTCACTGTCAAACTTAATGTGCACAAAACCATTGTGCAAGCTCTTCAGGACAAGGTACTGACAATTTTTTCAATGCACACGCTTTGTTTTAGATGCTGAACTTTGTGTGACCTCCATGAGGTTAAAGTTTGGATTGGAAAGTTCTTATTTATATTCACGTGGTGCTTTTTCAGATACTGAAGGAGAAGTTTGGCATGGTGGCACCAGATGTTCAAATTGAGGATGGAAAGGGAACAATCCTCATCTCCTCGGAGGAAGGAGAGACTGAAGGTGTGAATTAAGTCGGCTTCTACAGGGCATCTTACTCTACTATAACAAAACTCTGAGCTTTGCTTTAATGTTTTGCTGTCTCTGTTTCTCTTTAGCAAACAATAACAAGTTTTTGTCCGACTTTGGGATTCGGAACGGGAGCCGTCTTCAAGCCGATGACTTCCTACAGGATTACACTCTTCTAGTCAATGTCATTCATAGGTTGGTGTGTTCATTTAGCTAAGAGGATACTACTTTGCTCTTTCTTGAACATTAAAATTATTCTTACATTTATTGTAGTGAGGAATTGGAAAAGGATGTTGAGTTTGAAGTAGTGGGTGATGCCCCGGATAAGGCGCCAACTCCCAGTGCCCCGGAAGAAGGGAAAAACATTGCCAACGGTAACAAAGATTCTGCCCAGCCTTCTACCTCATCTAAAGGTAAGAACAACATTGATTACCTGTAAACCTTTGGCAAAATATCAGCTTTTTAAAGGAATAGTTCACCTGAAAATTTAAAATATCATTCCAAACCTGCATTTCCAATGGTTCCGCGTGCAAAACTATCACATTCCTCCCAAAAACTTGTAATATAGCACACAGTACTCACTTGCTTTTTGTCATTTTGGAGTTTTGCATTATGAAAATCCAGTTTTATTCTGCTGAACATATACTGTGTTTCAGAGGTGAAAGAAAATAATCCAGCATTTTAATTTCAGCATCGCTGTTTATGGGTAATGCACTATTTGTGTGTTTGCAGCAGCTGCAGAGGATGATGACATCCTCATCGTAGACTCAGACGAAGAACCGTCCTCGAGCACCATGGAAGCTTCCCCGGAGTCTAGTAACCGCAAGAGGAAGCATCATGATGCTGAAACAGACGATGCTGCGTCTAAGCGCAAACGCCTCGACCAGCAGCCGGCCGATGATGATGATGAAGACATCATCGCTCTAGACTAGCATCTTCACCTGCCCAACAATAGAGGACTTTCCTCAAGTTGAATTTTTGTACTGTTTCTCTTACCAAACATGTAAATATATCTGTACAATATGGTTCAAGCTCAATGGATGTCGTCTTTTCCTTCTGTCCTTTGTTTTTTGGGAACAGAAAACGGCTGAGTTGTGAACTGCACTCGGTTAGGTTTTCCTCAGATGGATAAAATGCTTTTCAACTTTGTATTTTTTACAAAATGTGTGTCCTGGTATTTTGCAGTGTTTTAGAAAAGCTGACACTGTATTTGAATGCATTTCTCATCTTGAAAACAATATTCCATATTTATTACAGGTTGTTTTTGTTGCCAACCTCTGTAATATTTCAAAATAACCAAATCATTGTACAGTAACACTATTACTGTATGATGGCTTGTCTGTCTTCTGTAGCATTGCTTCAGCACCACAATGAAAAATATTGACTTTTTTTTTTAAAGAAAAAGAAAATACACTCTCGACAACTATTTATACCATTGTGTTTCATTCTTATAGTTGTAGTCTTCAGCAGTATAAATGAGTCCATGCCTCATTTACTGACCAAACTGAGGAGCTGAATAAAGGACATCTCATTTAACCTTTATTCACAATAAAAAATGCTTCTTGAAAGGGTACAATGTCCTAATTGCACGTTGTTTACATTTAGAATGTTTGACGTAGGAACATTCTGTTTTCACTTATTACTCACGTAGATGTCAGAGTCCACAGTTCACGTGGTAGATGTCGTCAGTAGGGTTCATAAGATGCTACATAACCTGTTAACCCTTCCCCTAGTTGGCACCCCAAGTAAAATGCAAGGTTTACGTTTTCAGTGGCACATTTTGTGAGCGATGGTCCATGTTTTTTTTGTTTTTTTTTTGTCTAGATATTCATTTCCTCCGTCTGCGTGATGTAAGAGAATAGTCTTTGGAGAAATATATATTTTACACGCCAATATGTAATACCATCTCGAATACATTTGGAGCAATAATTTAGAAATGTTGGTTTCGTAAAGGGAGAAAAAGACGAGGGAATTTCTTCTGCTGGACGCTCACATCGGCCTGGCCGTAGTTATTGAGGTGCATTATGGGATTTAATGAGTGCACTCGGTTTCGACTAAATGCTCTTTTTAAGGGTATAGCATAGACTGTAAAAAAAAAAGGAATAGTGAGCGATTTTTTTTTTTTACATCGAACCCGTTAACATAACCATATAAGTTATGGACAATTCAAACTCAAGTTGCATTTTAAGACGTAATTGCTTTCATCCAAGTATGATTTTTAATATAATTTATTATTGCAAATTATGTTGGCTCAAATTATAGGCCATAAAAAAACTGAACTGGGATGCACGATCTGACAATAAACATAATTAATAAAACGTACATGAAAAAAGTAACAAATAGCAATGTGTTCTACATATTTATTTATAATATTATGGTCACCACAATAACCCAGTTTTTAATGTTCATATTTCATTAAATAAATACCCTAAATAAACCTTGAATGTTGGTCCAGCCTCCGCATATAATTAAGACCCAACGCCCCTCAGAGGATGAAGCTGATTGGTTTGAGAGGGACACCCGACCCCCAACTGGTCTAGTCCTCCATTTTATCTACATTACCTTCTAACGTTACTCGGATATTTAAACCTGTTCGTCCACACTTCGCCCTGCTGTCTCGACTACAAACAAAAGCCTTTTGAGTTTCGTAAGACCGAGACAATTGGAAACATCTAGAGTCCCATTCGTAGTTTGGTGGGTGTTAACCAGCCCTTTTTTTTCTTTACCTTCATCCGCCAATCGGGAGGGCGCGAGAGTAAGTTAGTTCAGTGTTGTTGGCACGAGCTCTGCGCGAGCGCGCACACCAAAGGACTATATTTTACATGGCGTAGCGTGACACCTTATATTAATCAAGCTTTAAGTTTCAATCCGAGTCTTCAGGCAGTTTGGTCCTACATAATTCATTTTTAGATTGGTTAAGTGAACTGAACACACCATGGTGACACTGACAGCGATCGTAGCGCCTCTCGGTCGGCAGATACACAGACATCTGGTGAATCATGTCAGAAGTCAGCGCTGGATACCTGCTCGGGCATGCAACTTGAGTGCATGCTCCAGCAAGCTAGCCCTGAGTCAAGGTTAGTGCATTTTTGCTATAAGTTCTTTTCTTTTCTTTTTTTCTTGTTTTTTTTTTCTGAAGTTTTTGGGTTATGTAAGCCCCCCTCCTGGGCCCCCGAATGTTTGGTCTTTTTGATGGACCACTTGTGCACTATTTTCCATTCTCTCACCACTAGGTTTTATTACAGATGTTATAATGTAATTTATGACTGGGATGATGATTATGGAGTCACAATGTGTTTGTTTATTATAGCGACCGCCGGACAGCGCCCTCCTGAATGACTTCCGGGTTTTGAATGACAGAATGTTTACATGAAAAACGATGGTAAATGATGACTGCATTGATTATGCCAGGACAGCCGCAGTAGTGCGTTGTGCATCGTTTTTGTGGGTCAAATACACCTTGAGTGGTATCATTTTGGATGTATGAATTATGAAATCACCCCAGCCCTTGCTTTACATGTCACTGTTTTTCCACAGGCCACGCCCACTTGTTTATTACGTCTGCAGAACATTTCTTTGAAAACAGCCCTGAAGATGCAATATAAGTTAGTTTTTTGTTTGTAAGAGCTTTAAAAAAAAAAAAGTAGTTTTTATCAGGTTGTAGTAAGTAGGCAAATAAAGAACATTAACATGAAACTGAAAACTCTTAAAACCTTAATGTAATTTTTGCAAGAATGAGTGGGACACAAGGTTGTAATTTTAGGTGAAAACAAAGCTGTCACTCAGTGGTAGTTGTTATTTATAAACTTAGATTTCATCATTTTTGTAATTGGTTTGCACGCAAAATGTATATCATGTATAACAATGTCCTATTCTTGAATATTATTATAACTGTTGTATATGTTTGTACTCGTATCTTTACCATGCAATTAGTAGCTGCTTATAGCTTTCATTTCTATTGTGTAGACCTTATCTTATCTATCCCCCGATTAGTTTATCAAAGCATAAAGCCAGTCTTTTCCGATTTTAATTGTTTAAGCCTCACATTGAAAGCCTCATTAAAGCAAAGAACAGTTAAAGTTAAATAAATAAATAACGGTTAAATACAACTAGCCTAGTTGTTAAAATAAGTGAAAATTAACAAAGAAATATAATTAATTTCATTAGTTAACCACTACATGAAACTAAGAATGAACAATACTTCTACAGCATTCATTAATGTTAATTTACTAATACATATTTCTTATACATTAGTTAATGCACTGTAAACTAACATGAACAATGAACAACTGTACTTTTTTTACCTAACAATAACAAAGATGAATAAATACTGTAACAAATGTATTGCTCATTGTTTGGTCATGTTAGTTAATGCATCAACTAATGTTAACAAATGAAATCTTATTGTAAAGTGTTACCAAGAAGAAAAAAAAAGTTGTGGTCTGACATCTACATGGTTTTGGTAATGAAAATTACAGAGTAAACATCCCAAATCAAGTTTATAACAAAAGTTCATTTTAATTCACATTTAATCAAAGACTAAGCTTAAATAAGCATGTCCTTTGAGATTTTATAAGAGAGATTTTCTTTAGTTAGAACCTAGTCTGTGTTTGCTTACCACAAAATGGGCCAGGACAGTTATAATCCCCTTTTACTAGACCACTTAAATGGTGGACAGGAATGAAAGTAAGGCAATTTTAATCTCATGAAAGGCCACATTCTCACATGGAGAGTTGGTAACATTCTCTGGCTGATTTAATTCCTTTTGTTGAATCTAGATCATGTGACCACAATCTAAGCAGTTATTGTGTAAGAAGAGCTCCGATGGCAAACCTTCTTGCTGTATATAGGATTTTGAGTTCATGTTTGCTCAAGGATTGGCTAAAACGTTCCCAACGCAATGTCCATTCATAAAGGTGGCATAAAACTCTGCTGACTGTCTTCCTGTTAAGCGTTACAGTCAGTTTTTCCCTGACATTCCAAACGTCAGGGTTTTTTTTTCTTCTTCTTCTTCTTTTGAGTTATCGAGTCACAGGAGGAAGCATATTTTCTTTTCGACTTTTACTTCTCTAACACATTCCAGAAGGACGGCTCGTCGGCTCTTGGTGCCGCTTTGTGTTGGATTTGTTTTTGCAGCTTTTTTCCTGTTGGGATTTTAATCATTTAATTTTAGAATCAGAAAAAATGTATAACGCAACATGTGAGGCTGCACTGTGTGCCATAAAATGTAGGTTTATGGGATCTATCTATCTATCTACTGTACTGTATGTTTTATAAAGCATTTTTATTCAGCTGTTTTTGTAATATTTGTTGTAATAAGCTTCATACATTTTCTGAAATGTCTTGTGCTGTTGTTAGACTGTCTAAAATCCTAATGTGCTGCCTAGATCGCTAGGTTTCCTTATCCTGACCGGTCATTCTCTCCCCAGTACATCCGATGTGGCAGGGGCCGCTTGCCATTCCCGGTGGAGATCGCCAGTCACCTATTGACATCGCGGAGCGTAGAAGCGTCTTTGATCCGCAGCTCAGACCGCTGAAGGTGCAGTATGACCCAAGGACCTGCCAGCAGATCTGGAACAATGGCTACTCTTTTCTGGTCGAGTATGACGACACCACTGACAAATCCAGTAAGTCATCTTCATTGTCTTAATTAAAAAATGTGCTATGGTATCCAATAGTTTGTTCTGTACTACAGTCACTAAAATAAAACTGCATTATGAAGTACTGTCGTCTATAAAATAAAATAAATTAAAATGACTTTAGTTCTATTAATTAATTATGGTTTTACAATAGTAACTTTATATATTACTTTGGTGGAGACTTTGCTTCCCTTATTTCAAGTAGGAATTTCCTATGTGAGCTTGGTTAAAATTGTGGTACCAAGAACAAAACAAAACATTTTGTTTGAAATGTTTTGAGAACTGAAATGAATCTCTTTCAGCTCTGAAGGGAGGACCACTGGAGGATCAGTTCAGACTGTGTCAGTTTCATTTCCACTGGGGAGAGAACAACGCCTGGGGCTCTGAACACTCCATAGACCGCCGCCTTTACCCTGCTGAGGTACTCTTACGTAAGATTTCAGTATATTTTAAGGATTTATATAGCAACGAAGAATGAAAAATTACTTTGTTTCTGACTTAGCCATCTGGATGTCATTTTTTACAACGAGGAAGCATTTCTCTCTTGCGAAATAGACAGAGCTTCTCTATAATAGAGGCGGAGACTTTACCGTTAGGAACAACCCACTATTTCTATTGTAAAATCTGAAAGATTGTCACCCCCTTAAATATGTGGCACTAACCCTGGTTAAAGGATTAGTTCACTTTAAAAAAAACTTTTGCTGATAATTTACTCACCCCCATGTCATCCAAGATGTCCATGTCTTTCTTTCTTCAGTCGAAAAAAAATTAAGGTTTTTGATGAAAACATTCCAGGATTTTTCTCCATATAATGCACTTTGCTGGGCACCAAACGGTTCAAGGTCCAAATGACAGTTTCAGTGCAAACTGCAAACTGTTCAAATGGTTTTAAATGACACCAGACGATGAATAATGGTCTTATCAAGCGAAACGATCGCTCGTTTAAAAAAAAAAAAAAAAAAGTTTAAGTTTTATAAGCTCACATGCTCGCCTTGCTCTGTTCTGTGCAACTCTCCTGTTCGAACTCGTTCATCAAAATAAACAAATCTTTTTCCGAGTCAATTCGTTCATTTCGGTCGTTAAATGAATCAAATGACTCGAAAAAAGATTTGTTCATTTTGATGAACGAGTTCGAACAGGAGAGTCACGAACGTGCATCACAGAACAGAGCAAGGCGGGCATTTGAGCTTATAAAACTTAAACTTTGTTATTTATTTTTTAAATGACCGATCGTTTCGCTTGATAAGACCATTATTCATCGTCTGGAATCGTTTAAAGCCCTTTGAACAGTTTGCAGTTTGCACTGAAACTGTCTTTTGGACCTTGGACCGTTTGGTGCCCAGCAAAGTGCATTATATGGAGAAAAATCCTGGAATGTTTTCTTCAAAAACCTTAATTTCTTTTCGACTGAAGAAAGAAAGACATGGACATCTTGGATGACATGGGGGTGAGTAAATTATCAGCAAAAGTTTTTTTTAAAAGTGAACTACTCCTTTAAGTTCTGTACTTTTTTACTCATCATAGCCAGTTACATAAGGAGGCACGTGTGAATGAAAAACCCAAGTGCCGGTGAGAATGTGACCTTGTTACGGCTCTCAACACTCCTTTAGCTTTACTGATTTGTCTGTGTGAGTGCGTATAACAAAGAAAGCTCAGATTTCAGCCCTGTAAATGGATCCTCTATTGCGTAAAGTGCTTTTATTCCCTCCTCCTCGGTTGAATCTAATCGTGCCAGAATGAATGGAGGACTGTCAGATTGTACGGATGTTGGTTTAAGCTGTCGTGGCACTTCAAAAACACAAAACCTAGCTATGTTCAACCGCAGGATTGTGTAATCGTAAGCTGAACCACCAAGTAAAAAGCATAATGGAAAAAGAGCCCTTAATTATAGTTCAGATTAGCATGAGTGTATATCTGGGTTTTTTTTTACAGCTCCATATTGTTCACTGGAACTCTGACAAGTACAGTTTGTTTGAAGAGGCTGTTATGGAGGATAATGGACTAGCTGTTATTGGAGTCTTTCTTAAGGTACTGATGTGTGTAATTATTATCAAACTTCTTGGATCTTTAAGCTTAGTAGGCCTTGTAATTAAAAAGTAAATTTGCTTTGGTGTTTTCACAGATTGGAAAGAGGCACGAGGGTCTACAGAAACTGGTGGATGCCTTGCCAGCAGTCAGACACAAGGTAAGGCATCAAATATTGTGTTTTGTACACACTGGCAGTGTTGTGAGTCATAAACTGAGATTAAGAACCTCAGAGCATGATATTTTGGAAACCGAGGGATGAGGGGTGGTTAATCTTTTTGCATACATTTTTTGTGTACAATCTTGCAATATTCTCATCCTTTGTCACCCAGGATAGCTTGGTAGAGTTTACCAAGTTCGACCCTGTATGTCTCCTTCCGGAGAACATCGATGACTATTGGACATACGCAGGTTCTCTGACCACTCCTCCTCTTACTGAGGCGGTGACATGGCTTGTGATGAAACAGCATATTGAAGTCAGTCACGATCAGGTAGGAGGCTGATATGAGACAGGAAATTGAAGGAATATTTCCCTCGATAGCATATTTAAAGAAATAAAAAAATTATTATTACATTATTCTATGTAATATTCGTGGACATTACACACACGGACAAGGTAGTCAGTTGGATGAATTGTTCACAAGAGCATTAAGATGCATTTAGAAAATAGATAAAGTGAATTTTTTGTATAAGGGGTATAAGACGCATGCGTATTAATGCGTACTATAGCACACACACGCAAGGTCTCTCGCTCTCTCCCTCTCTATCGTTCGCGCGCTACACGGGCACACACACGCAAGGTCTCTCGCTCTCTCCCTCTCATGCGCGCGCTACACGGTTTTGAACATAACACATACATATTCACGTAGCCTTTCGAAAACGAAACCTATAATATATAAAAATATATATAACGATGAAATACGGGACAAAACATGATTTTTTCATAAGTCGGGACACTAAAATTAGAGTTGAAATACGGGACTGTCCCGGGAAAAACGGGACGTCTGGTCACCCTATTTATATGACTATTTTTCGCTTCTGTCTAACCTTTAGAATTAAATTGTCAGTTTTTGCTGCTGCACCTTTAAGAAACACCTTCTTCTAATGTAAAATTAACATTAAGTGAGTATGTTCTTTATCTCTGCTTTAGCTTTGCTGTTGTGCCTGTCCAGTATTGTTGTTGTAATGCTACATACTTCAATAACAGCCTCTTTGCAAAGCCTCTATTAGATTGTAAAAGGATCTAAAAAATGTATATAGACCCTTTTCACATTTCCAGGGTTTTCAGAAGCGGAAGTCGTCGTAGTTGGGTAAACTTCTATAGTGGTGAACAGGAGACGAGATGTTGATTTGCAATGTTGAGAATTGTGGAAACTCGTCATCACAGTGTGAAAATGGTCCATTAAATTGTAAAAGATGTGTACAGTGCAGGGTTTGACAAACGTTTACATTTAACGCTAGTCGTTAGTTCTTCTGGTGTTTAGGAATAATATGGTATTCTGCTTCCTTTTGACGACAGAAAGCTGTGAAAGATCAGAGCAATTTGGATTTTTGCTGCTTAGTTTCAATAAATGTAAGATTGTTGTGTGCTGAAAGTCTGCGCAGTACGTCTAACTGCCAACAGCTTATGAAAGCTATGAATTTAAGCCTCCAGTCACCTCACACTGGAGGTTTTGACTCTGCTGGGAGTCTTGTTTGTTATTCCGACTTCATGTTCCACTGCTCCATGGTAACCTGGGAAATGGAACGGAAAAGCTCATCTGGCTGACTGCTGACATCTGTTTTCTGTTCACCCTGTTTGTCTTTTACATAATCTCCCTTTTCTCTCTCATTCTAAATACCAATATTTGGATGTTTTCGTTTTTTTTTTAAATACTCTCCTATTCTTTTTGTTTCCCTTCCTCTCAGTTGGCAGTGTTTCGAAGCTTGCTGTTCACATCGGCAGAAGAGCAGGTGCAAAGAAGCATGGTCAACAACTTCCGTGTTCAGCAGGCTTTGAAGGGACGGACTGTACGTTCTTCATTTTCCCCCTTCCTCCAAGATGCTCCCCCAATGGAGTAGCAACACAACTCCGTGAACTTATTCACATCCAAACCTCCAAAAATCACAAAAACACTCTTCAGTCTCTTTTTACTATGGGGTCCTGATATCTGTATGATTTTAACTGGAAATTGTAACTATTTTCACCATTTCCAACCAGGCATATAGGTATAGATTCCATTGAAAGGGATTAGCAAAGATTTATATAGTTATTGAAAGGGTTTGTTTATTCCTCCATGTCAAAAGGTTCATCCAATTCATCGTCATTTCGCTGTAAATTCTAATTTCAGAACGAAACACGCACAATTCCTCTAACTATAGTGGCAAGGGGTGTCCACGTTTGACAAACAGCCCCCTCTTGTGGATCACTGACAGTATGCACATGCCTTGTTTTGAGGCATTAGACCTTGTGAAGTTTTTAATTTATGTATACAGTAGTTTTAGTTTAGTGGTACACTTACCTTGTTTCCTGCGAGGGGAATTTATTGGATGCATGATACTGCACAATGCCTTTCACTTTTTTGATTTACTTTTAGATGCTAATAAATAATCTAAAGTATTTTCAGTTGATCTAATACGAGAAATCTGCAATATTTAAAGGCTCTACATTTGAGCATTGCAGTATAAATAAGACTAGAAATATAGTCTTTATAAAAGGTGCATAAGACATTTAGAAATGTAAAAAGAAAAGGGGTAGATTAATGCGCACAGTTGTTTAGTAGTGAATATGCATTACTGTAGTTGCTAGGTGCTTCATTTTTGTGCAAAATAGGTTATTATAATAATAATCCCTAGTGCCTTTTGCATTGGACATAATCTCTGATTAGTTCTCCATTGCTCTCATGTAATCAGTAATCTGATCAACTGCACAAGTGGTTGGCCATATTTGCCTTTTGGTAAAATGTGCCTCCAAATGTCTTATAGTTTTTGTTGTACTCATGATATCACAGTCGTAATTGTTCATCTGTGGATCTTGAAAGTGTATTTAGTGTTGGTGATTTAAAAAAAAAAAAAACAATAACAGAGAAACTAGTCTTTATGCGAGTATGTCTTGTAAAATGTATTTGGGAGCACCTGGACGTGTCTTTCCACTATTTCATGAAATACCTTTCAGAGAGGATCCTCCATTTTCGAGCACGTATGCTCTATTAAATTCCTCCACTAGAGGTGGACATGAAACCAGACACAATGTAGAAATGAGATCTACAGTGAGACCAACTGATTGTTATACTTCAATATTGGTGCATTCCGTTTTCCTTGTCTGAAATATGCTGTAAATGCAGTAAAAATGAGACAGTAAAATTGTTAGAATCATCCAGGACCTCTTATGTTAATAGTTGTATTTATGTGCAAATGAATTTTGCATTTACGTCAATGTTTTTAGATTGGTGATGGTAATATTTAGAGGACGGTTGAAAAGTACCATGGGAGCTGCAGAATCGGCAGAAGTTCGACATAACTGCGAAGAGACGCTGACGGTCTCTTTGTGATGGCTGAATAACAATGCTCTTGTGTAAACCGTCCCTAAAGCGGCCTCTCATTTGAATGGGCCACCTGGTATTTTCCCTATTGCGTTCATGGTTGAAATTGAAAGAAATACTAACTAGACTGGAAAGCTGGATTTGGGTTGCAAACTTTAGGTTGCAAGTCTTTAGTACGCTCTCAGAGTTGTGAACATTCTTTCACATTAGGAGGTCCTGGAACAATGTTCTCTCATTGAAGCAGCATTGAATAGTGTGAATTTGAATTATGCAGTGAATGGATTACAGTTTGAGGTTCTTGGACACTTTTTGCTGTTGGCATTGAGGGCCATGTTGGCCATGAAACATGACTTTTTGTTTTTTCCTCCACACCCATTGATAGGATTTGCCTCTGTTTTGTCTTTTTAAGTAGCTTGAGGGAAATTTAATAAACATGATTTAACACTAAATCTGGTTTTGTTTTATAGACAGTCTCTTTACTTATCACCTGAAGTCATTTACATAACTGTCACTTATGCTGCCTATTATACATCGTATGATGCAAACGTATGCAAAACTTTATGATTTCAATCTTGTATTGTGTGCAAACACTGTATTATTCGTTGTAAGTTTTATCAGATTTTGTAAGAAATGGAAATGTCTTTCTTTGTATTTGGCCCATATTTGGTTGATTTTCAATTTGTTTTACTTGTGGGTGTATGCAAGCATGTGCCCTGGGGATTTAAGCAGGAAGAGGGTGGTGCTGGAGGTTTATGGGGGCCCCATCCCAGCAAGCGTTGTTGCACCAGGTGCTGGTTAGATCCGGATCAGCTGCGCTAAAAACTACGTGTTTTGGCGGATTTAGCAGGGGGGAGCCCACAGACCCAAAACTGAACATTAACAAATGCATTCATGCTGTCTGACATGTTGTGTATTAACATTTGTTTTAAAATGAAATAAATCAATCAAGACACGAGTCTTCAGGGGTGGACTGTGTTACACATAATTCCTTTAAAACATTTTAAAATGCATTCAGTACTCCTGTATGAAATAACTGTTTTATATTTAAATCAAAAATGAATTCACAGTGGTGCATAAGAAACATTACAATATTAAATCTCTCATGACCAAATTTACCTAAACTTCTTAATTTTTTACTTTTACATTTTAATGGCCGGTTATGGAATGCCACTAAAGCTGTATTTACAAAAAAAAAAAAGAGGATAAAAAATTCTGTTATCTGTTGTAAGATCTCCATCAACCAATATGAACCTTTTTTAGGACTGTTCTCAAAGGTAAACACTTTTGTAGGCTACTCATTTCATACCTATTGACCTTCTCTAAGACTTAAGAAGATTCCAGGCAATAAATCTGAACCAGTGGAGAGCAAGTTTCAGATTTTTGGGGCTAGACAGCACCTTAAAGACAAGAGACAGAGGATAAGGCCAGGGTGTGGGTGTTTGTAGAGGCTGGGGAACCTGGATTGAGTTTTGTCTCAAACTTGGTTCAAAAAGATTCCGTTCCATGTTTGTTGTTCTTGGCTGCATGAGTTATAAAAATGGGACGAGACACTGGGTTTTTGCGTATCCCAAACGCACCATGGCTTCCCATCATTGTGTGAGAGAATTTAGAAACAGGAACAGGAAAAACAAACCATAGAGGTGAACCGATTGAAGAGCAGGAGATCAAGACGACGACTTTGGAAAACCCTGCGACGGTCACGGTTTTGATGAAGAAAGATGGAGACTGGTGTCTTCTGAGATTTCAGGCATCCATAATTGAATAGAAGTCACAGATGAACGCTTCTGATATGAGGCTTCTTACTATGGTTTTGTTCCTGTGTTTTTGCAGGTTATTTTTAGACAAAAAGAAAACTCCATTTAGCTTTCTATAAACAGGAACCTATGGCTTAAAGATGTTTCTCAGAACTCCAATCCTGCTGTTTTCCTCTTTAGATCAAACAGAGTGTTTTGACTAACTGTTGGTTGAACTGAAAAAAAAGTTAACGTTTCAAACCAATCAATTGAGTGTTAATTTCAGATATTCACAGAGAGGTTTCAGTACTTATGCCCCAATATACCCAAATTATTAGTTACAAATGTATCTACAACGTACATTAAATCTTGGAACAAACCTGACAGGCCCTCGAAAGTTTCAGAGCTGATTGTTTTCTAATGACATCCAGCTCTTGTGATGCCAGGGAACTGAGACGCCCACACCCCTCTCTCCTGTAGAGAAAGAAAACTCAACTCTTAAATATCAGGCCACAACACAGCAGAAACCACACAACTTATCAAATAAAAAGTCACCTGCTGTCTCATTTATCTTTAAGCTGAGAAAACATAAATAAAATGTAATTCTCATGATGGGGAGCAGGGGAGGCTAACTTCAAAAATGTATAGCCTAGATGAGAGCACACGTGCATAGAGAAAACAGGTGGCAGCCAGCAACATATTTGTATAAAACATGCTTGATGAATAACATTTAAATGAAATGCAAAGTCATGAAGTATTAACACACTTCCCCCCTGCAGAGAATACTCTTCAGGTCCTCCGAGATTGATACCTTGAAGGCATGTGACATGCAAGTCATTCTCTTTGAAACACATGTTTGTGGATGCAATTTTAAGTTGTTTTGCTCAATATCTTTAAAGTCCACACAGGGAATGTGACATGATGTTTCAAGGGCCTTTACCTGAAAACAGGAAATTAGCAGGGACAGCTTTTGTTATTTTTTCATATGCTTCTTCAGACATTATGATCAAGTTTGAGTCTAAAGAATTTTTAAGGGCTGAACCTGAAACGGCAAGTAATGGCAATTCATGTCTAGCCAAGGATTATCTGAATATATAAGACAGAAAATACTTGACTAAAACCCCCCCACCCCCCTCCCCCTCCCCCTCCCCCCAAGACTAATTATGCTACTGGGAAAACTGGTTTTCCAACCAGTTGTTCACAAATGCATGAAACTGCAGGGGGTTGTAAGATTGTGCTTATAAGGCCAATTAAATAATAATAAAAAGTTTATTTAAAACGTGTCAAATTAAAAACATCAATCAAAATATTCCAACTGTGTAAATTAAGTAAAAGCTATAGAAAAAATGAGTCAAAATACAGCACAATTAATAATAAAAACAGCCGAGTCTTTCAGAATATTCTAGTAGCATTACTTGCTCTCTATAGCGTTCAAAAAGTATAGGGTGAATTCAGGGTGATTGTCAAAAAGTGTCCCGATCAACTTGAATTCACCCCTTTTCCATACTGTTTGAAATTAATTATATTTGTAATATCAAGAGAAATAATTGACCATATTGATTGTCATAAACATGCAGAGATAACATAAACATATTTATTTAAATGTCCTGACGTGACTTCAAACTCAAGGGGTACTTAGGGGGTTCAACTGCATTACAAAATTATGAAATTATGAAAGACACTGGTTTGACTTGCTCAACTTGCTGGACCGGCTCAGTCCAGAAAAATGAATTTTCTTAAGGAATTGAGACACTAGAGGGCGATACTGCACTCAATGTCGCGGTTATTAGGAGAGAAAAAAGAGGCAGGCCGAATCAGGAGATGCTTTTGTGGGTCTCTGCAACGTTGACTTGACACACTTCAGAAACCACGTTTCTCTGAGTCAGACCTGACTCCACGGTACCACCGTGCATCAGCGAGCCCAGTCTGAAGGAGCTGAAAGGGTCTTTTTCACACTTAATAAAAGCAAAACAACGCGTCTGGCTTTGTTTGACAAAAGGAAGCAATGTCAGCGTTGAAGAAACGGAGTTCAAATGCATCCGCGGACCGGGATGAAGAGCAGGTGACGGAGAAGATGCTCTCCAGGGGAGGGAATGGCAACATGAGCCGACCAGGAGACGGCACGCCTGAAAGCCCGACCGCAGATATCAGCGCTGCGGAGGGAGAAGAGACAGTCGAGCTTAAAAGAACTATAACTCTCGTCAACGGCGTGGCCATTATTGTAGGCACCATTATTGGCTCTGGTATCTTCGTTACTCCAACCGGAGTGGTGAAAGAAGCCGGATCAGTCGGGTTGTCTCTGGTCGTGTGGTCTGTATGCGGCGTCTTCTCCACTATAGGCGCGCTGTGCTATGCCGAACTGGGGACCACCATCACCAAATCAGGGGGTGACTACGCCTACATCCTTGAAGTTTACGGCTCTCTACCTGCGTTTCTGAAACTCTGGATCGAGCTTCTCATCATAAGGCCGTCCTCGCAGTATATTGTCGCCTATGTTTTTGCCACATATCTCCTGAAGCCCATCTTTCCCTTCTGCCCTGTCCCTGAGTCAGGGGCAAAGCTGGTCGCCTGCCTATGTATCCGTGAGTAACCTGTTACCTACGTCGTTAGGTCACATAAAATATGTTTTACCCATTTATTTCCTAAATAAACAAAACCACCGAGGGCTTAAGTCAACCTTTATCATGGATCTCCATAGTTAAACGTTTTTGACGTTAAAATTTGCCTCAGCTGTCATTCCACGTGCCATTAGCGCTCTTCCATCTTCTCAGCGTTCAAGTCTCCTCATTTAGTACGTTACTCGCCGTCAAAATATTTATCTCAGTTCGGCCGAATTATGAATATATATATTTTTTTACTATGTGTCTAACAGAAAATGTGTAATTCGAGACAGAAACGCCATGTGTTGACACTGATACGGCGTGTGTAGCTTAAATGAGGAAATGAGTATGTTGAAAAGGTGCAGAAAAATTTCATCATCTAGTGAGGAGGAGGAGGTGGCAGTGGCACGCGCTGCTACATCACCTTGGCGGGCTTTATGCAAATTTATTGCATTGTTAGTATTAATTATACCAATTTAGCGACGCTTTAATATTAATATTTTTTTATTTCGAATGTATATTATATTTTGAGAAAATGCACATCAGATTTATTTTAGCAAGGAACTAACAAAATGCAGAGTAATGTAGTTAATTTGATGTTTTAAGTTATTAAGCAATGCTAATAATGTAAAACATCTTACATTAACTTAATAATTACGCTGCTTTTTTATGTTTCAGAAACTCCACTTAAATATACCTGTTGGCCTGTACTGTATGCAATAACATTACCTGTCTAAACTAAGATTATTCATTGTATATGATCTGGCTACTAATTGTATTCCCTTATAGATAGCACACGTACATCTCCAAGATGTCTGTAAAAGAGCGGTTCATCTGGAAAGCATCTGCTGTGTACAAAAATCTGATAAAAAAATTTAAAAAGTCAGTTTTGCATACATTCTTTATCATAAACATCTTAAAGACGTTTTCTAAATGTATATTTAACATCTGACAGGAAGCTTCTCATAGGTGCTTTGTAACACTGTCTTCCAGATGAAAACACGCAGATCAAATAGAGTAGACGTCCCCGAGAAGTATGTGTGCTATTAGAGATAGCATGCCGTAAATTGGGGGTGTTTCCTGCTGTGCGAGTAAAGACCAATAAGAGTTAATGAATGTAGCCCTGCAGTGCTTCAATCACAATCACACATTCACAGATCTTTGACATTCATGCTCATGGCAATATGTTGAGGGTGTGATACACCATGGCAGCTATGCGAGCAATGAAGCCCTCCCGCAGGTTTAAACCAGTCAGGATTAGCAGAATTAGCTCAAGCCCTAATTACCAATTGGCCAACAAATTAAAACACATATTTCTCTCTTTCTTTCCCTGTATTTTTCCTTCTCACTCTCCTCCTCCTTTCTCAATTAGGCCAGATGAATGCTTGATTGGGGTACAGGAATGTGTATTCTTTGTGATTGTGAGGGAGTGAATGAACACAGCACCCACTATCCACTGTAATCTCACCCTGCTAGTCTAATCTTTCCATAAGAACCCACATGACAAGACAGAAAGGGAGGTAAAGACGACTATGACCATATGCTTAAACTGAGCAACGACAAGTTATGGGATTTACATGTAAATGTTAAGCTCAAGTGCCCAGTTCTATGGTCTGGTTCCTCATAGACAGTATTTGTGTCTGTTGGCGTTGCAGCTGGCCATTGTTCCCCTGACCCAATTTCTCATGTGTTTTGAGGTTATGATTAAAAAGGGCCTCCCGGATTGGTTCGTGGCATTAAACTATGCTGCGTAAGAGTGTATCCATGGGAGACGCCCCTTGAGCCAGACCATGCTCTTGCCATAAGGGATTTCAGGGAGGAACCTGTCTCATGATCCTAGTCTATTAAGAACGAGAACTGCAATGCCCGACATTAATCCAACAGCGTGTGCATGTGTTCTTGCTTGAGGGACCCAGGCTCTACTGTCCTACCCAATACAGACCCCCTTTTGTACTTTAGGGGCACACAAAGGCTTTTGGGTTTGGCCTCTCTGTTTGGTGCCTAGACCGATTTACAGCTAATGCTGCTTTGAAGTATTCGTTAGTTAATCACATTTATTAGGGAGCTTGGAGGCAGGGGCTGGAGGCTGATGTGATAGGGGCTAATGTTTTTTATTATTCCTTCAAAATATGTTTACCAGTATTTTGTCGGTGAACTTTTATGTTTCAAGCAGCCTGTGGCACATATACCTGCTCATTTTATTTTTTATACATCCATTTGTTTTTCAAACCACTTACCTTGTGTAACTCATCCGGGCCGTAGGCAGGGTAGCACACACACAGAAAGGCCTCATCATGGTTCATCCAGGACTCAAACTGGGGACCTACTTGCTGTGAGGCAACAGTGCCGCTACCCATTGAGCCACCAAGGCACCTATATTCATACAGTTATAATCATACAGTCATAAAATAAAATTTGTACAAGTATTATGACTATAGTATATTTATTTATTTATTGAACAAAACAATGACAAAAAAAATTCAAAATGATTTTTTTTTTGTTAATTCATACAGCCCTACTCACAAGCATAGCAAACCTGTGGGAAAAAATCTGGAAAATTGCAATTAAATGCGTTTTCCTAAATCGTTACCCACACTGCTATCAGCCCAGACAAATTCAATCAGTCTTATTAAAAATTGTCACATAGTCGTCCAGTCAATAGGCTTTCTGTTAAAGGGTTTCCACCCGTGATTAAAGTTATCCACACGTCTCCAGGGGGTTAATAAAGGCCTTCTGAAGCGAAGCGATCCGTTTTTGTAAGAAAAATATCAATTTTTATAACTTTATAAACTATAGGCCTAATCAATATATTGGGCAACAAACTCAAGCTCCTCCGTCATTTCTCTTTAAAAATTCTCGTTGTAGACTTCTAATTCGTGACCAGTGTTTTGTTTTTATCTATCCTCTGCGCTTCCGCGTTCGTCAATACGTCATGCGTCGGGTCAGAGTTCACTCTTCCGCCAGAACTAGACTTGCGTACGGCTATTACCAGAGGCCAGTGATTACAGGATGAGTTTTATGGATGGATGGATGTGCTTTTTTGGGCTTAAAAATCGCAGGCTCTATTCACTCCCATTATAAAGCTTGGAAGAGCCAGAATATTTTTTTAATATAACTCTTGATTGTTTTTGGCTGAATGAAGAAAGTGATATACACCTAGGATTGCTTGAGGGTGAGTCAATTATGGGATACTTTTTATTTTTTGGTGAACTAACCCTTTAATCACATTGAAACAGAATTAACCAAACGAAAATTAAAGTAAGTGGATGGAATAAGTAGGGACGAGACATTTGAGTATGATTCAGGTAATCGTTCTCAGATCCACCCAGTAATACAATTAGAACCCATTAGGCAGATTAATGTGTCCTGAAGAATATGATTTTGAACCTTACATTTGGTTCTGACATTTTCAAGATCGGACAGATATTTAACCACACTTTATTTGATCTCTGATAATACCGGTAAGTACAAATTTGGCAGCCATGCTATTTCATGCTGCCACGTGTAACTAGGGTGCCACCTATGTCTGATTAAAAACCGGGACATATCGATGACCCGCCCAATGGGGGAAAGCGATTAATTGCGCGCTTCTTACATGCGCTTTTTGAGGCACACTAGCACACACACGCAAGGTCTTTCACTCTCTCCCTCTCTGTCGTCCGCGCGCTACACAGTTTGAACATATTCACGTTGCCTTTCGAAAACCGGGACATTCAGTGTCCCGGGAGAGTGCATAAATTTCCCGGGACAAGTTATTAAAAAGAAGGACAATCCCGGTAAAACCGGGACAGGTGGCAACCCTACGTGTAACTAAGCGTAAACAGCGATTTGTGAGCGACGCCTCGCCTCCTGAGTTCAAGCATGGCTGACAAATTCTACCCTAATTAGTTTACCAAGTATTTAGGTCAACTTTCTCTGAACCTGTGTTGTGAAAGACTAAAAATAAGTGGCTGTGGTTCTTTTTCTCCCTCCTTCTCTCTCCATAGTGTTGTTGACTGCTATCAACTGCTACAGTGTGAAGGCCGCCACAAGGGTCCAAGATGCCTTTGCCGCTGCTAAGCTACTCGCCCTGGCCCTCATCATCATTATTGGCTTTGTGGAGATTGGCAAAGGTGGGTAACACACACAAACACACCTAAATGTCCACCAGCAATCAGTCAGGTAACTAAACAAGTGCTGAAGAATGTAATGGAAAACAGCCAAATAGCTGTTATTTTGGCTAATAATGGTGTTTCCATAATATAAATGAAAGAAAATACATATACGCATATATAAGTTGGACCATGTCACACGGTAACCACAAGAACCCATATGAATAGCACATGTTTGTAAATACCGACAGAGGGAATGTATTATGTTTAATGTCTATTATGAATCAAGGTTTGCATAGTCTTTGTTTAGATTTGCTATGGATACAATGTACTGTTCCAACAATTTTCATTACAGTGTTGCTTTTGTGCTTTGCTTAGCTGGGTTAAAAGTATTTGCAAGCTACACAAAGTTTGACACCAAGTTCAGTTCAACAGAAGACATTTTCCATGAAAAGGGTACAATTTGGTGTCCCATAATTTTTTTAATCAATTAATAGATAAACTATTAGCTAACATAAAATAAACATAGCATGTATTTTTAAACGCATCAAATATCCAACAGAGGTTCTGGAGTTCTTGACTGTATCCAACAATTAAAATCACACATTATTAAAAATAATTTCAAAATTAAAATCTTACAAAATAAGTAAATAATCTCATTTCATAATCTCAAATTTGACACAGATTTAGTGTTATATTGCTTTAGCCATTTAACCCTTTTACAAAATATATGATGAAACCATTATTTTACTATAATTTATATTAAATATAAAATATATCACTAAAAACAAACATTTGATCCCTAACTATCTAGGTTTTTTTGTCATTTTAAATGTATTTTAATCAATTTTCTTTAAATTTATTTGATCTAATCATTATATTATATTTACAATTTTGTTTACGTTTTAATTTAATTTTAATATATATATATATATTTCATTTTTATATTCAATTTACTGGTTATTTCTTAAAAATAATGTATATGATCGTATATAAAAATAAGGTTTATCGGCAGTCTTGGTTCAGCAATCTTGACACATGCCTCAGGCACTGATATGTCAGCACTCCATCACTTTTAGGGCTTTCTGTTGCCTGGATTCAGATTCAGAGAATTGGACTGAATTGTAGACGAGCTGAATGTGCAGCCAGAACAGCAGCTCTGATTGTTTGCCATCGAGACACTAAAGCACTGACAGCAATAGTCTAGAGAAATAGTGAGCAAACAAAAAGAAAGAGCAGTTTAAAGATTTGTAGTACTAGCTGGCAGACCTTACCCCCAGCCTTGACGTGAACTACAGTAGTTTCTGTTTAAATGGCCACAGTAACCAAATGGAATTAACATCAGTGGTTTCACAGAGAATAACTTTTACATTTATACATTTAGCAGATGCATTTTTGGGCGCACTGTTTGTCCCTTTATGTAACTTTTTTTGGTTCGGTTTCTCATTAGCTTACTGGTATAAGCTCACAAATTCAGAAAGGAACAAGAGGATTTCACAGTCTGAGATGGAGATTAATAAAGGTCCATTCACTTGCTACATGCCCGTGTCTGCTGCACAAACAAAGGCCTGAAGCTGGTATCATTCAATCAGTTGTGAGTCAGCGAGACAGGACAGGTTAATTCGAATGGATTATTAGATTATTAGATCTTTTATCTCCCCTCCACCTTCTCTCACTGCCCACAGCAGTGGACATGTAGTGACAGACAGCGAGATGGTTATTGAAAGAAAGAAAAATGGGAAGGAGACGCTGTGCTACTTGTTAATTACTGAATCATGTCATATGGGAGCCAGAACGGTTTTAGTTGGCCTGCCACACCCAAATTTCGGCAAGACTGCCAGAGTTTGCCCTTGCCTCTGGGTGTGGGTTTCTTTGATTGGTTAAGCCTTTGGGTGTGTCCTTTAGTTGCTGAGGTTGCCACATGCATTATAGAGATTATAAATTTCGAGTACTGAGAGGTGACATCTCAAAAACGAGTACTCAAGTGCTCAGGGGCGGGGCCAGTCCGGACAGCATCCTGTCTAACGCTAACCAATCACACGGTTTCTTTTTTCTGATTGGTTATTGTGGCAAAATGCCACAATAACCAATCAGAATTTTCTTTTTCTTATATTTAAATGATATATATATATATTTAATATGCTGATTTGGCTGATTTGGTTTGGTTCATTATTAGGATGCTTAATATTTTTGTTCATTGATGAATAAAAAAAGCATTTATTTGAAAAATAAAATGTTTGTAGAATGCATTAGTTAGAATGCATTAGATGATTGTTCATTTTGACTGAAGACAGTGAGACAGCCGGCTAGCTATTGGGCGTATTTGTGTGCTATCTTGATAAGCAAATGCAAAATGATCATGAGAACAGCGAGGCCAGAGAATGATGCCTGTGAATTTGATCCATAGAGAGACACCCCCTCCCTGCCCTGAGAGAGTAATATTTTAAAACAAATGTAGGTAGAAATGTCCTAAGATATCTGTATGGCTAAAATGACAAGACAAGTGTCCTATTTATTTATTTATGAAGTCTTGCTGTTGAAAGAGCTGTTTAATTCACAGTGTCTTGCTCTGTGACATTTCCTCTGTCTGTCTCAGTTTCTGTGCACAAAGTGGCTTCTGTTTGACTGCTTGATAGACTTATCTCACTTAGAAGACCAGAAAAGGTCTCGGTGTGTATCTTAGTGCTTGAGTTTGTTTTGAGAAAAGCACTAGTGCTTAATACCGCTACGTTATCACACCAAACCACCCAGCCGTTGCTAAAAAGAAGCATGCAACAGGACACCTTGTGGTTCATCAACCATGGTGAACTCTGCAGGGACTGGAGCTCCGCCCACACTGAGAAAGTGGGACTCCGCCCACTCCCCAGACTCCACTCGCTAATTAACATAAGCATTGGTGGAAACTAAGTTTTCAGCTTTGCTCTTTTTGCCACTGTATTGATAATTTTAGTTGAGAGCTGAGTAAAGATGGGTAAAAAGGAGGGAACAGGAAATGATGCAAGCTGTACTCAATCTAAGCATCGTGGCTCACACTAAAATAGCCATTGTGTTTAAAATATGATGTTTTGTTTTTGGATTTGTTATTTTGTTTTCATTATAGATTTGTTCATTTGTTTTCATTATTGTTATTTGTTTTGCACTTCTCAGTCACCGTACACTCTAAAACATGCTGGGTTAAAACAGCCCAATTTGGGTTATTTGGCAACCCAGCACTGGGTCAAAATTGGGCAAACCCAGTGTTGTTGTTTTTTTACCCAGCTGGTTGGGTTAAATGTTGAGTCAACATGCTGGGTTGTTTTATTAAACTAAACTATTGATTAAAAATAACTACATAGCTGGCTTAAAATGAACCTAAAATATGTTGAAAATTAAAATCACACACAGAATTACTATAGTAACAACACAGGCAACAGTAATAATCAAAAGCTGAACATTTATTAATAAGCAAGAACACCCAGGAATGCACAAAAATATAGTTAAGAGTTAAAACAACATGCACATGTGTATAAAAAAGTGCAGAAAAGAATGTCAACTTAACAATTATACAGCTTATACAGTTCAACGAAATTGCTTTTTAAAAGTTAAATATTTAATAACTTACGTTTGAAAATAAATTTGACCATATTTCGCTTATTTTTCTCATGCCAACGAACAAACTAAAAGCACTACGGCCAAAACTCGCTGCAGCCAGTTTTCAAAGTTCTCTCTCCTCTCCGCTTCAATTAGTTTTCCTCTATTTTCCACATATATTCCTGTCGTAAGTGCTGCGGTGTTTTTGCTTAAATCTGAGCTTGTGACGGGCCACTGTTCGGCGGGGCAGCTGCCAACCTCAAACCGCTGCTCTGCGTTTCACATAAACCAAAGATATCTTGACAAGCTCCTTATAACCTGCACACATAAACAAACAATACAGAGTTCTGAGTTCTGATGTTAACATATTTTAACATTCAAATTAATAATATTCAGTATTATAACGAATCAAAATCATTTTATTCAAGGAAAAAGGCGTTTCCATCATGCGAGACAGAGCGATGCTGACTGACACATTCAGCTGACTGACATCTCATAAATATATGAGATTTATTGCACTGTAAAGACTTTATAGACGAAATAAAATGTATACAAACCTTTAATTTACTGAAGTAATGCACCAATTCTGCGGCGTTAAGATCTGCTCTCTCCTGACGATGATGGAGAAGCCCACGCTCTGTGTAACCCATCAGATGGGTTGTTGTAGTAAAGCCACCGCTGGGTTGTTGCGTCGGAGGGCTGTATTGTTTCAAATAACCCAACAAAATGACCCAACAGGTTCAACCCAGCGTTTTTTTAGAGTGTAGGATGCTCGGCTCACTTTCACACACTGAGCTGTTGCCTGTTAGAAAAGTGTGTGTTTGAGGTTGCCTGTTGTTTTTAGGAATTCTTCAGATTGAGTCTAGGCTATGTAAGCTGAGATCTGCTGTCGAAGCATTTCTCTTAGACAGAGATTGGGCTGTTCTGTGCAAGCATAGTTCTCTGAAGCTCAGGTCTGAGCCTGTAATACTCAAGTTTATACAAAGAGTTTATACAGGCTTTCAGTCTCGTTCTGCGCCTGATTGCCTCGGGCCTACAGTCACACACACACACACACCTACCTCGCCTGTCGTGTCATGTGACCTGGTGGCGTTGGCCTCCATCGATCACACTGATTCACATGAACTCGCCTTGGGCAGTAATCGTTCTTACACTGCAAACTTGTTCACAAAATTACTCTCACAATACATTGCCACAAGACAACACTTTACAATAAGTACTTAATTAATCTGGGTAATGTTAATTTCTACATATACCAATATATTTGTATAGAAGTGTCGGTAACACTTCCTTTTACAGTCCTGTTACCCATGTACATACTATAGTATATAGTATGTACTTATTATAGTAATTACAATTACTGGGTAATAACTAGGTAAGTACACTGTAAGTACACGTAACTGTACTGTAAAAGGAAGCGTTACCGAAGTGTCTTATGTTCACTGATCAAAGATACAGTTAAAACGTATTAATTACATAAAAGTAATATTATAAAGTATTATAACAATGTAAAATGACTGTTTTCTATTTTAATATGTTTTCAAATGTAATTTATTCCTGTGATGGCTAAGCTTCCTTTTTTTCTGTCACATGATCCGTTAGAAATCATTCTAATATGCTGATTTGTTGCAATGTTTTTATTTAATATTTTAGTAATAGTAATATTTTTGTGGAAATTGTGATAAAAAAAAATCTGGATTTTCTGAAACACTTATCTAAATTAGATTTTTTTTTGTGTGTCACTTTTGATCAATTTTAATGTGCTTTTGCTGAATAAAATAATTAATCTTACTGACCCCAGACTTTTGAACGGTAGTGTATATATAATATATACAGTATAAATCCCAGTGGCCATAGTTAACTATGGGGGAACAAAGAGAAATATTCCATTGATTGTCCATTTTTAGATTTAAAAAGGTTGTGCTAATCATGTGCTTTACTTTCTCTGCCTTAAGGCCGTTAAACCTGGAAAATATGCAAATTAGGGCATCAAATCAGTTGATGCTATTGTGTTAAAGAGCTGCTCAGGAATGAAAGTAGAAATACCCACACATTCTCAAAGAAAAGAAAGAGCAAGCAAGAAAGAAAGTACAAGAGAGTCCTTGTGTAGCGATATTCACAGAAATGATTTCTGGAGTACTCAAGTTGCAAGTCACTTTTTTATGATTTAGTCTCAGATTCTTCTGTTCTGCATATACAAATCAAACCTGTGAAACTAGTTCTTTTCGGACCCCTGTTTCGTAACCATAAATTGAACCAATACGGCATCTACTTTTAGGGAAACCCTCGTCGCACGACCCACAGGCTTTGGAGAGATGGATGCACGTAGAGGATTGGTCTCCCCCGGCTTTCTCATGGAACAGATAGAGAGCGGGTCTCAGCCTGAAAAAACACTGTTCATCTGTTGATCCAGTGGGAAATTCACAGGCTTTGGGTGTTCAAGAATGCGCAAACCCTCCGTTTTCTCTCCGGTTCTTGTTTTCCCATCACTCTTGCGCTTCAGTTGTGTCATCTGTGACATTGACCCTCATGTGCCGACCTTCTGCCCACAACCAGCCTTGAGAATTTCAGCATGTTGATTTTGAAAATTCACCGTATTATGATAGCAGGAAACAGTCTTCCACCTTAACTTTTTCCATGCAAGCTTGTTTGTTCCTCTCATGGGAAATATTGTGGGAATTGTAGAGTACTCCCCAGATATTATGACTTGTTTGGGTTGTTTATGTTACATAATGTTCTTGATAGTTTGCAACAGCACTGTATCTCATGTTTCACGCTGATTGTTTCTGTTGCAGGTGATACTACTGATCTTCTGCCTGAAAATTCATTCAAAGGAAGCAAAACAGACTTTGGCAACATCGGATTGGCTCTTTACAGTGGGCTGTTTGCTTATGGAGGATGGTAAGACCACAGAACTTCTCTATATTTGGGTGAAAGCAGGAAGAGTTAGACTTTGACTTTAAAAAGGGAAATCACTAGTAAAATGTAATTCTACACCATGCGATCCAAGATATCTTTCCATGTAAATCTAATTCTTTATCCTAAAGAGTCTTGACTACAACAACATAGAATAAGGTATTTTGATGAACGCTTGGTTTCTTTTTTTCGGTCATGCTGAGTAGACGCGTCCACTGTGAAATCCCATTGGTCCAAAATCCCACATAGTTGTTTTGATAATTTCAGTGTTTGCACTTTCCATGGAAATCAGCTGAACTTATACTTCACTCTGCATATTCAGCTGGCGCCGGAAGAAGTTTTATAATATTCACAAAATTTTACACTTCCCCTTAATTAGAATTCAAAACTATTTGTCGGTCAATCTATAATTTCTCTGCATCCTCTTTCAAATTATTATAGTTTCTTTTTCTTTATAGTTTCTACGTCTTCATTTTTGGCCTTCAGCAGTTGAAATTGTAAGAGAGCATTTTTTTAATGTTTGCATTTATTTTTTATTTTTTTACCAGGAATTATTTAAATTTTGTCACAGAGGAGATGATCGATCCATACAGGTAAGTCAAAAAAATATTTGTTTTCCTCTTTTTAAGGGAGCAAACGTTTCAGTCCACTGGAAAGATCTTATAATTAAGACAGCTTATGTATAAGTACTTTCGCTCACTAAGTAAATTAATCATGTCAAACTGTTATTAAGGTAATTTCTACAAAATTAGATGCACAAAAAACAACTGAGTGCACATAAGGTCTTTAATTACATTTTTTTTAAATTAAAAAGCATAGTGAAGTTTTTGAGAGTAGTGGGTTATGTTATGGTGTATGTTCTGGCGTTTTACAGAAATCTGCCTCTGGCTATCATCATCTCGCTTCCCATTGTGACCGTTGTCTATGTGCTGACCAACCTGGCCTACTTCACCACGCTTAGTCCGGACCAAATGCTCTCATCTGAAGCTGTTGCTGTTGTGAGTGTCGCCACATAGACACATTCTATTCCATATTTAGCCTAGTTACCTTTATTAACTCAATGTGTTTATTTGTTAACTCAGTTACTAGTTTCCTTTTTATTAATGTTTATTAAAGTTATATAATAATGATTAAGTGTTTTTTGTTTTTTTCAGGACTTTGGAAACTACCACCTAGGGCCAATGGCTTGGATAATCCCTGTGTTTGTGGGCCTGTCCTGCTTTGGCTCTGTGAATGGCTCTTTGTTTACTTCATCTAGGTAATGCACACACACACTTGTTATGAATATCCTTTGTTGAAAGAGGTCACATTAATCAGATCACTTTACTTTAACCATACAGATTAATCAAATAAACAACTTAGTGTTGTACTTTTCCACTGCAAACGCTGCCCAGGTTATCTTGAAACAGATCTGTTTGTAATGCTGGTTAGTATCAGACCTAATGGCCAAAACGGTCTCTTATGTATCTTTCTCTTTCCCTTCAGGCTGTTCTTTGTGGGCTCCAGAGAAGGTCATCTTCCCAGTTTGTTGTCGATGATCCACCCTGATCTGCTGACCCCTCTGCCTTCGCTTATATTTACTGTAGGTGTCCACAACCAACCGCATCCCTCATCCCTCACTATGACTTTCAAATTATGTCCAGTTTCTTAAGCCCCTTTCACAGAGAGATTCCGGAAAATACACAGGTAAAGTGACCCGGGATTTGACCCGGGTTCGTTTGATTTTGGTTCATTCACACTGCCAGTGATTTTCCGGAATCAGAGATTTTTCAGTTGTTCACACTCAACCCGTAAAAATCCCGTAAAGACACGTGACATCGATGTGACATGTAATGTCTCAGCAGCGTCTTGAAGGGTTAGTTCACCCCAAAATGAAAATTCTTTCAGTAATTACTCACCCTCATGTTGTTCCAACCCCGTAAGACTTTCGTTCATCTTCGGAACACAAATTAACATATTTTTGATTAAATCTGAGAGCTGGATCACTCCTCCATAGGCTTCTAAGCCCTCTAAGGGATTGAAACTTGCCGGCCCAAAAAAGTTAAAGACATCTGAAAGGGGCTTTTTTTTTTTTTACGTATTTTAACTTTTTACATTTGTGAGTGAATTATTCCTTTGAGTTGGTTCTTTTCAATTAATGATTTTAACCAGTTCTAATTTGTGAGTGAATCATTCTTTTTAGCATGTTCTTTTCAATAAATTGGTGTAAACGGTTCTAATTTTGAGCAAAACGGTCTTTTGAGTCAATTCTTTTTTTTTCTTCTTTTTTTTTTTATGAATTGGTTTTAGTGGTACAAATTTTTGGACAAATTAATCTTTTATCCGGTTCCCATTTTTGAGCAAATAAATCTTTTGAATCAGTTCTTTTTGATGAATCATTTTAACCAATTTTTGAGCAAATCATTTATCGGTAAACACCTAGTTATTTCGAGAATCTGTTTAATTGTTAAGTGACTCGTTTGAGTGATCATTCTTACGAGTCGATTCTTTTCAATGAACCGGTTTAAATTTACTAGTTCTAGTTCTAATTTTTGAGTGAATAATTTTTTTTTTTACTAGTTCTACTGATTCACAAATCAGAATGAATTAGACTGCATTTTACTGTAAAGGTCAATTTACACAAAGAAATGTTTGACCCACATAAAAAAAAATTAACCAACTTAAAATAAAAGATTGCTGGATGCCAAATAATTGGCAAAATAGAAAGTTTAACCCGCCTTTTCTTTACTTTTCCCTTCACAGTGTATCATGACACTCCTCTACGCTTTCTCCAATGACATATTCTCTGTCATCAACTTCTTCAGCTTCTTTAATTGGCTTTGCATTGCCATGGCGATCGTTGGAATGATGTGGCTACGCTACAAAAAACCTGAGTTGGAACGACCAATTAAGGTGAGCCAGGGGGCAGAGCAAACAACTTTTTGATTGGCTGAACATCTGTAAGTGAACACAGATGGACTTTGTGATGGGGAAGGAGGTCACACTTTCAAATCCATGAGAAGTGACCTGCCATAATATGTGTTCTCTCTCTAAATCCGGACACAGCCAGCAAGAGAACGGTAACACACAGGCCCTTTTGTGCGCCTCTCTCATTCATCCACATTCTGTCTCCGGTCATCTGCTGGACACAGAGGGATGTTCATCAAAGGAGGTTTGAAGGCACTGGAGTGAAAGAGGCCATTTGCTTATTGCTCACAATCTTTTTCTCATTTTCGATCTCATTAGGGACAATCCATTGTCTGTTGGTATTAATTACTGCCTGTAATGTTGTCTTTAGACACTTTACTGATTTCATTGATGCTTTTAACTATTGAAGTGTCAAACTTCTAGATGTTAGGAATCCTTATAATACACTAGGAATATTACTTTCAAAGAAAATTACTACTATTCCAAAGATTGGGTGAGATATTAATACTTTTAAAATGGCAAAAATTGTCTTTTGTGGCTGTTCAAATACATTCGACTACTTGAGCGTTACAGAACGAAAGCAATCCTGTTGAATCTGTTTTCGACTACCTCTGGAAGTGGTCAAAAGTGGACAAGCTTAAAACTTTCTAGACCGCTTACACCTGTATTTAGCGTCATCCACTTGCGATCCGATTGACCAAAACGCATCTTAATACCAGGTATAAAACCAGATCAGTCCGGCTATCACAAAGAGCAAAAATCTACTCTGGGGAACTTTGTGATGTAATTGTAAATGGAAAAAAGACATGAGAAGGCTATAAAAAGAATTGCTTTGAACCTTGGAGCACTGTGAAGTTCATTGTATATAAATGGAGAAAACACAACACAACCCAAACATCAAAGATCAGGATGTCCCACCACACTGAGCAGCCAGAGAAGAATGGTGATTGTCAGAGAAAAAGGGCAATATTAAGCTGTACACTTCAACAGTGCGTGTCTTTCATATGTGAAATAAATGTTCCTCAATACACATACTTTACACTTTCCGACAGCACTTTAAATTAGACTTTTGATCACATTTTCAAAACTTTCCAACCTCTCTCTGTCCACTAGGTCAATATTCTGCTGCCCGTTTCCTTCGTACTGGCCTGCCTGTTCCTCATCGTGGTGTCCATTTGGAAAACCCCTGTGGAATGTGCTACAGGATTCGGAATCATCGCCACAGGAGTTCCCGTCTACTTCTTCGGCGTTTGGTGGCAGACCAAACCAAAATGGCTCTTGCAGATCATCTGTGAGTGTCTCTCCTTTAGTGTGCTTCATGACAATGAGAAAAAAGATGGTTCTAGACAGTTAAAACTGCATTCTTGAAATCTGAAACACCATTCGGGTTATGAAGGCTAACATTGTTTTTAACTGACTTTGAGTGCCATTCTTACATCTGACAAAGTTAATGTTTGAATTAAACTTGTGACTAAACTGCTTTTCAAGACAAAATAAGATATTTACAATGCATTTTGTAATGTAATGTAATTGTAATGTAATGTAATGTAATGTAATGTAATTGTAATGTAATGCATAATATTTACAATGGTTGTGTAAAAGTCGCCAGCAGCCATATCACCCTGTAGCCCAAGACTGGTTCCCCACTGAAGCTAAGCAGGGCTGAGCCTGGTTAGTACCTGGAGGGGAGACCTTCTGAGAAAACCAGGTTGCTGCTGGAAGAGGTGTTAGTGAGGCCAGCAGGGGGCGCTCAGCCTGTGGTCTGTGGGTCCTAACGCCCCAGTATAGTGACGGGGACACTATACTGTCAAAAGAGCACCGTCCTTCGGATGAGACGTTAAACCGAGGTCCTGACTCTCTGTGGTCATTAAAAATCCCAGGATGTCTTTCGAAAGAGTAGGGGTGTAACCCCGGCATCCTGGCCAAATTTGCCCAGTGGCCTCTGTCCATCATGGCCTCCTAATAATCCCCATATATATATATACACTGATTGGCTTCATCACTCTGTCTCCTCTCCACCAGTAAGCTGGTGTGTGGTGAGCGTTCTGGCGCACTATGGCTGCCGTCGCATCATCCAAATGGATGCTGCACATTGGTGGTGGTTGAGGAGATTCCCCCTTCCATGTGAAGCGCTTTGAGTGCTTAGAAAAGCGCTATATAAATATAATGAATTATTATTATTATTATTTAACCTCCATAATTTGGCAGATTTAAAGTGTTAAAAGAATATTTAGTAATAAATGGCTTGATGTGGCTTGTTTTAATCCAATGAGATTGGATTGGATTGTTAAAAGTGGGCTTTTATATTTATATTGCTTTTGTTAGGTCCCACGTGGTATTTAAAAAACACAATTTACAATAGCATGCACTAATAAATCATACTCAAAATAAAATGTTTAATGATGATGGAATTAATTGCATGCTAGTTTAAATCAGTGGTACTCTCTATGTGTGTGTGTGTGTGTGTGTGTTTTAAAAAAAAATGTTTTTAAATTCAGTCTCTTACTGTGCATTCACACCGCCGCCGGCGAGAGTGTCAAAGTGGCCGGAAGCCATTCATTTTCAATGAGAGCCGGCGGCGAGGAGAAGGGAGAAGTTGAAGTCAGGTCAACTTTATGGTAATGAGCTATGACGCGGTTCGGCGGCAACCAATCGGAATTTAGAAGTGCTCCGTTTGAGAGGATTCCAGGGAACGCAGTCCTGTAAACTTTGGTTCCGACCACATTAGTTCCCAAGCAAAATAGAGGAGAGTATGATCATTTGAATTCGAAAAGAAGGCGTGCAACACTATTTATAGGCAAGATTTTCAAGCGTGCTAGAACGCTTGTTTTTCAGCGGGAATGCAAATTAGATTAGCACTTAACCATGAACACAAAAGACACACCACACAAATGGCTTTAAATTGGTTTATTTAGTTAGCAAACATGTCACTATAATTGTTAAGTTCTTTCCATCGATCAATTTATTACTTTCACAAAAGATTCCATGAGGTTATACCCTACTTGTCAGTCTGCAAAAATAACGATCGACAATTCGACATGCTTGTTTGCTTTGCGGCCCCTTTAAATAAAGTTTAAAAAAAGACCAAGCATTCGATCTACGTCAGAGCGTCCATGAATCTTTCCACGGCGTCATTGGCAGGGCGGCGAGAGCGAATTTTGCCGCTCTCGTCGGCGGCGGTGTGAACGCACAGTTAGTCTCACCAAAGCTGCATTTATTTGATATATTGTGAAATATTATTACAATTTAAAGTAGCTGTTTTCTACTGTAATATATTTGAAAATGTAATTTGTTCCTGTGATGCAAGTCTGAATTTTCAGCAGCATCATTACTCCAGTCTTCAGTCACATGATCCTTCAGAAATCTTTCTAATATGCTGATTTGCTGCACAAGAAACATTTATTTTTATAATGAACAGTTGATCTGCTTAATATTATTGTGGAAACCGTGATACTTTTTTCAGTATTCATGATTAATCAGAAGAACAGAATGTATTTAAAATAGAAACTTTTTGTAACACTATAAATGTCTTTACTATCTTTTTTGATTAATACATATATATTGTTTATTTATTTATTTATTTCTGTCCAGTCTCTACCACGGCGACATTCCAGAAACTGATGGAAGTGGTTCCTCAGGAGTCCTGAAGAGCAAACAGAGCGACAGATGCCTCATATCCACCTCAGACTCCCTCACTGTATTCCTCGACTGCCTCACCTCTCCTCGTGTGAGCCAGAAAAACGTCGTATCCTGCTGCCACAGGCAACATCTATATTAATCACCACGTACGAAACCAGTATGTTACAGGAGCATTTCAATTGAGATGTAGATTTTGTCAGTCCTTTCTCAATCAAATGTATTACTGTATTCGTTTTAGTCTTTATGTTCAAGTTACAAGTTTTCAATCAGGATTTTATATATATTTTCAACCATTGGCGATATGTGTCGTATAACCACCGTGAGTGGTTTGCTTTATTTTAGGGTCTTGTATGCGTGCAGTAGTATGATCATAAGCTTCCTGTATCACGTATCGCCAGCTTTTGTTTCAGAATGTACGCGAGGAAAAGTGCGTACCGAAAATGCTTGTGGGGAGGCGCCGTTGTCTCTCATTAACCAGAAACATGATTCCCACCTGACTGGCAAATTTGCTTCTTGGATTACAATATGTTTTATTATATCTACATTAATTTCCTTTTCTACAGCAGATTTGACCTGTTTGCTGTGCCTTTTCTGCCGGTGTAGAAATGTATTCTTTTTTGAGATCAACTTGAAATGACTTTATACTTCGACAGATTTATTTTTGATAGCTTAATGCGTTTTTTTTAAACTGCTACTAAGAATTTCAAGGAACCTCCATTTTTTTGGGTCATGGTCCTCTAATTGGATGTATCCAATTCTTTATTATTATTGTGGAAGGCATCATACAGTATTCATAAATTCAGAATCAGAATACCTAAGCTTTCTGCTTACCTCAGTGAATATGTAGTACATTACACTCATAGCTATGACCTGGCTATGTATTTTTATGCCTAATTATGATTTTATGAAGCACAAAATGTGAGGCGCTGTTTGTCTTCTTTCTTTCAAGTACTTTTTTGATATTTAGCACCTTTTTTTCTGCGTCTGTCACACAGATAACCACATAAATACGTGAAGTACTTAACACTGGACCATCTATTTTATTTCATTCTCCTTGTATTTTGGCAATTTTTTAAACCAAGCAGCAAATTAGCTTGGTAGTTGCGAATTTTTTAAAGAAAATTGTCCGTTGTTGTAATTATTTAAAACAGTTTGTTGCTTTTGTAATACGTATGGCCTGTTTGCTATTGCGTCTCTTTATTGTACCGTCAAGGTATTGTTAAAAATCCCATTACCGAAGAGATTTTAGTGCCTCATCAGTTTGTGGACTGATTTTGCTGTAAAATGCGACATGCATCATTGTGTTTCAGCTAGTTTTGGTTAAATGGTAATTTGATCCTATACTGGACCAAATTTTGCTGTATTTGTGAAAAGTTTTCGGTAAAAGTGGCAAGTGAAAAACTTGGGGTGTTTTGGGTGATGCAGGGGATGATATTTTAGGACAAATGGAAGTTGTCCTTTGATTATTATGATTACAGAAGCATTTCCTATAGGCTTCTGCTTAGAAGGACTTACAAGAACTGAGATGCTTTTCTTTAATGCCGTTAGGATTTTAGTGGGTGATAATGAAGCTTTGTATTATTTAGAGAATTACAGCAGTATGACTAACACTCCAGCCAATTTATCTAATTTAAATAGTTATGTAGAGATTTACTTATTTGTATTTATTTATTTGTAGGGTCATTCAGTTAGTGCTCTAATAATTTTTACAGGGCATTTTTCTATAAAAAATGCTAAAAATGGTTACTGATACTTTTTCCTTCTTTCTTCAGAATGATTTTTTTTTATATATACTTGTTGGTTTTTTTGGTCTGTTTTTTTTTTTTTTTTACTGTAAGTGAAACTGTAAATGTTTTTGTAACTGCTACCTTGGTTAGTTTCCATTGGTGCCCATTAATATAAAAATAACTGAGGGGGTGTTTACGCAACATTGTTTTCAACTAAAAACAGAAAACTTTCTATCCGTTTTGGCCGTTCATTTACTCAAGGCGTTCTAGGGGGCTGAAAATGCAAACTTTTGAAAATGGTTTCAAAGTCCAAGTTTTTGAAAACGATAGTGTTATCGTCCCTGTAAAGTACAATAACGTGAGTTTGTGAAAACGATGTTCAGTCTATAGGCAAGTCGTTTTTCTTTACAAAGCATTTTTAGTCGTTTTCGCCGATCCATGTGAACATTGCAATGGCATCAACAGTGACAGTCACTACATTTAATTACTAATAATTTGTTCACAAGAGATTTGTTGGTATCTCAGTTTTTTTTCTTTAAATTTTAAATAAAGAAAAACATTCATAAAGATATGACTGATTCTTATTTGCATGTTTATGTTTCAGAATAAAAATGGTTCACTAAACCATTTCTTTAAACTGTAGTTTCTTTAAAAACGTAATATTTTTGCATTTACAAACTGACATGTATAAATAACCTTTAGAACACAAACATGAACAGCCATCTTTGTGTCACGCAGACAGGCAAACCCTTTTACCCGAGGGCAGACTCGGTCTTTCGTCACTTCACTTTGAAGCTCGTTTGAGAGAAGACCTTCTTGTTTTTTTTGTGTGATCTGTAAATTCCATGTTCAGCTGATCTCTGTTCAGTCAATTACTCTGCTTGTCGTACCTGGACTCTGTGAATGGTTGTAAGTATTCTGTCCGGTCTTCTCTGTGATGTGAAATACAACTAGGAAGAGATCCTATCGAGCAGTTCATAATTCATTTTCTTTTGATGCCATGGTTATACAACTACTGTACAAACATTTGTTTAGATATAAACAGTTCATGCTCTGAAGTGATTTTTACTTTGCCACAGAACATTGTTGAGTATTCAGAGAAATAAAACATGAATGCATTCAAAACTTGAGTACTTGTGTTTTTGCAGATTAGCAGATGTTCATTGATATAGCAGCACAAATATGAAGATACTTAAGTTAATTAATGACTAAAGTTAATAATATAGGCCTTTTCATAAATACAACCTCTATAAAATTATAATTAAAATACAATATTTAGAAATTATTTGTAAATATCATTTATGTAGTAAAAAAATATAGTTAAATAATTTAAACATTAAAATATATTATCCATATATATTTTAATTATACAAATATATTTTAATTAAAAAAAAAATTTTTTATTATGCACGGCCACTGAGTCTGAATGGAAGTTTTTGGCTACTATATCAGGGTATCCGCGGGGTCTTGAAAAGTATTAAAAGGTGATAAATCAATTTTGGGAAAATTAAGACCCTTAAAAAGTATTAAAAAGTCTTATCACGGCTTTATAAAGTCTTAAATTTTGAAAGTATTTTTTCTAGGGATGCACCGAATATTCGGCCACCGAAAATAGCCCAAAAGTGCATTTTCGGAAAGACTTTTATCACCGAAACAATACGGCCGAAATGTTGTGATGACGCGAACAGAAACCGCGACCTGCACGTGCTTGTCTGAAGCAACCTTTTACTGTCTATGGAAGCAACATGTCTGCGGTGTGGACGTATTTCAGTATATCTGAACCCGCGAGGAGACGGAAGCCTTGTTTATACTTTCGCCTGCCTCTGCAGCGCGAGTCTCCACAGACAGCGCGCGTAACGTTACCTCTCCAAACGGTCGAGGCGTTTATACTTGACGCGCTCGCCGTTGTACTATTCTTTGAAACGACAGGGGACGACTAACTGTCCTCTAACCATCAGGAATCGGTGAGAAGAAAGATAAACACGTGACAATGTTTATTTTTTAGTAGCCTACCACCACCAATACAAAAATAATCATGTAAAACCCAGTAAACCCTGAGATTATTACTTGTGACATTACAACAAAATATGTATAGGAATATGTACTAAATTAACGCTCTCTTAAATATTTTCTAATTTCACTAAACATATTTCATTAAGTTTCGTGTACATTTGTATTAAACATGGACCTTTGTTCATTAAAATGGCTTTTTATGCTAGTGTATGCTCATTTTTAAAATGTAATCAACTAATTTAGACGTGCAAACTGGGTGCTGGTGTGATGAGAAGTTCGTGCTCGGCTTTGTTTTTATGAGAGAACATTTAATTTTAAAACCTTTCTGCAGGCCAGCAGATTATTATTTAATGTACACATGAGTGGGGTCAAGTTAAACATTTTAGTTTGAATTTTATTTTATACTGTGCATTGTGCTAAATAAATATTTGCATAATTTGTAATTGATTTATTCTTTGAAAATGTTAATTTATGCAATTGCAATGCCTTGATTTTAGTATTAAGTTTGTACACAGTCATAACCATAAATGCAATGGTACTTATAATTGGCATAATTTCTTTTGGTGTTTCGGTTTTCGGTTTTTCGGCCTTGGGTTCCTCTTTTTCGGTTTTCGGTTTCGGCCAAGAATTTTCATTTCGGTGGATCCCTAATTTTTTCTGAATTAGCTGTCCAACAGTTTGAGTCCCAAAAACATCGTAAAAGTGTGTGAATTTAGTGATTTTTATTTTTTTAAAAACGAAGAACTGAGGCACATGTCAGCATGATTGTTGTTGAGGGTGGAGCAAAGTTTTGTTTTGTTTTTTAATAAACTTTGCTTTAATTTACTATCCCAGCCTATTTGATTTTTTTTTTTTATCAGAGTGGTCTATAGTCTTTATCACAAACTAAAACTGTTAAGTTAAAAGTATCACTGTAAATGGTTACAGCTTGAAGTGGCGGTGAGGTATTAAAAAATATTGAGAAGGTCTTGAAAAAGTCTTGAAAAGGTATTAAAATTAACTTCAAGATTCCTGCATATACCCTGTATATATTATTAAACTACTTGTGACTGCATACAAGAAAGAATTCTCTCAAGAAAACTTTCTCTTTCATGAATTCTTGGAGCTCTGCTCGTGACTCCTAAAAATGGGCTCGTGCAAGTTCGACTCCGAGAATCTGGTCCAAAAGCCATTTTTCTCCTAAGGGTATTCCGTAATAGCTCTGGTCTCGCATCAGCTGCTGTGGCCTAAGGAAAACTTTCGCATCATGTGAGTTGCGTGGAAAAGATTAGCCATTAGCCTATGCTGTTAGCCAATGTCATTTGACTTCCTCTTTTATTTGTTGTTTTGTCCAGGATTGAAACCAATTTTTTTTTTTTTTTTTTTTTATACAAATGAACCGCTAAAGCGTAGGGCACTAATTCAGGCGTTTAGGCCTA